AAATTCTATGGGACTGAGAAAGTATTATTTTCTACTTTTTAGTCCATTTATAAAAGCGTTGTATATTAAAAAGTTTTTTTTATATTATTTATTTTCTAACTTTTCCTTTTGTTTTGCGCTGTAACCGCTAAAGTAATATCTTTTAATTTATACATGTGAACTATTTTCAATGACATTTTTTCATTTGTTAATGAATTTTGGGTACATTTTATTTCATTCTTTTTTATATTACATATATACACTCCGATGTTCGGGATAGTATTTTGAATATACCAGAAATATATGTAAAAGTAGTGGCGACTGCTGTAGAGCATTACGCAGAGCCTGAGTTCAAGCCCAGTCTCCCCACCAACATCAAAATATAAAAAACAAAAAAATTTTTTTCCTAATAGCGGTTGCCCCTCTCTTGGTAATGGCAAACCTCCGAATGTATTCTGTCATGGAAACAGCTTCTCATAAAATACAATTGCCGTTCGGAGTCGGCGTAAAACTGTCCTTTACTTTGTGTGACAAAATCACGCACGCCACATATCGGAGGAGAAGCTAGGCCAAACGCTAACATATTGTGTAACCACCAATATGTATATCGTCCTTTAAAGTACAAAAGCGCGTATCGTAGTTCTGCAAAACCTCGAAACTGAAATTTGTGCCAAAAAAGATATTTGGTCACCGGAAGCTCCTGACATCAAGCCCTTAGACATTTATAATAAAATATCGATACTTAGACATAAGGAGAAGAGATAATTAAGTTTAAAAGAGAGAACTGTTTTTAATTAGGACAAGTTTTACTCTCTCCTATAAAATTTAGACAACCTCACATACGAGGTTTTGCATTTTCTTGATGCGCGGTTTTGTACTTTAAACGACGATATGTAGAAGTATTGCATACATATTTTGGTGCTTTTCAAGTATAAAATGATTTCAACTTACGCCAAACGTTTCGTAAACAAGCAATTCTGAACAAATAACCGTTTTTCCACAAAGATCTTTAAATGGAAGCATTACAAATATGGAAAGATAGCAATCTACAACAGTGTTGCCACACTTGGGCTTTTCCTACCAAAACTGGTAGGTTTTTTTCCCTTTGGTAGGTTGGTAGGCTAGATTGGATTTTGGAAGGTTTCGGGACAATGAATAATAGTTATTTGCGAAAAATAGAAAATATTTATAGAAAATATGTATGTGTTCGTATAACGGCGGCTGCAAACATGTAAATATACGTGATTCCTAAGTACAAACTTATAGCCTTATTATTGCCAATATACAATAAGAACGTCCATATATCGTCACCTAAGGGTGAACATGTGCCCAAGTCCATTTTTTGAAATTCTTCAGGAGAGACGAAAAATCGATGTCGTTTCGTATTACCTGCCATTTTGCATGAATAACTAAACTTTGCAAAAAAATAGACTTGTGCACCTTTACACCTTTAGGTAGTGATATAATTTATGGCGTACTTGGACCAAGATTCCAGAAAACTCTGCCAATGGACTCGTAACCAACCATATTCCAGGCGGAGGTCTTCGCAATCCAAGTCTGTGTTCGCGAATGACGTCTTAGAAGGCAAATGAGGCCAGAATAAATATTACGTCGGATATTCAGGCAGCGGTGAAGGCCTTAGAGTCTTTTAAAGCGGCATCAAGGCTTGTGAAGACTTGAACCATCTGGGAGCCCACAAAAGCGTAACACTTTGGAAGGTTCAGGGACTGGAAGGGTTTGAAGGCAACGAAAGGGCTGACTGTCTCGAAAAGCGTGGAGCCCAAATATAACTATTTCCAGGAGGAACTCCGAAGGACACCTTGAACTTAGAACTCTTACTGGCCACCTGACAGCACACTGAAATTTAACGTACCGTTTGAATTAAATGGGTCTTTCTGTAGAGATGGACTGTAGGTTTTGTGGGCTTGTGGAGGAAATCCCAGTTCCTGTTCCTGTTCACAAAGCATGAATCGTAGATTGATACACCTTGGAAAACGATTGTCTTCTCCATCTAAAATTTGGAGCATGGCATTATCCAAAGAGCTGAGCTTTTTCAATAGCCTAAGGTTGGAGTGATTACAATTAGGATTTACCACTATATATCACAGCGTGGGTATCTCCGACGTAATAACTAGAGACGAATAAAGACGCTCGGGTGCTTTAACGACGAAAAAGGACAGGTGAAAAAATTTGTGAAAAAAGATTCATATACTGTTACACTCGCAAACATAAACAGTTGGCCGCGAACATAAGTTTTTGCGTATTTATTGTCGTCACTATGTTAAGAGTATTTCTTCGCCGAAATTTTTTTTACGCGTCTTTTTTCGCTGTCAACTTTTGAGCTCGCATCTTTATTCGTATCTTGTGATGTATATGTAAAGAGACATACATTTGGATAAGTCCGATGATAAGTACAGTAACATGAATCGTTATACGCAGTTAATATGTCTTTATTTTACTAGCTGTGTTTTAGTTTTACTAAATGTTATGTTAGCTATGTTTTAATAAATTTGACGTCAAGATAAAATATTAAAACTCAAAAAAATTTGGTAGGTTTTGATTGGTTATACTAGGAAACTTTGGTAGGAAAAAAATTTGTCTGTGGCAACGCTGATCTACAAGGCTTTATTGGCAGTAGGTCCTTTTTAAATCACAAGCACGAAGCACGAAGCTAGCACAAAATAAAATTTGTTTATTTGTTGTTTACAAAAAAATTATTGACAAGTATATAAGTCAAAATTGTTAAATATATATCGCTTTCATTCATGTCTTCATAGAGTTAGTGCTTCGAAAAGGCATTCGTATGTGAATATTATATATTATAAAATACTGTGGTCCAAGAAAAATTTCCAACAGAATGAAAATTTTTTCTGACAAATTGCTACAAACCGCTTTCTTTTATTTTATTTTTGTTTTATCGTTTACGAGCCTTTCTCTAACTTTTCGCCGATCGAGAATCCTTCGTAAAATGTACGTTTTCTTGCTGGCTGGGATACTATGTATTTAATATCGATAAATCAAAAACTTCCACCATTTAACTTATTATTGAATTCAGTACACTTCTAATCTATGACTATTATACATTTAAGAAAACGCCCATATTCCGAGGACTGTTTGGAACACAGATGGCTAATGTCTTCTGACTACATGATTAAAAAGAGAGAAAGGGCGCTGTTCCTTGGGAGCAGGCTTAAGGTATGGACACAATATTATTACGTAATTTAAATTTTTATAACAATAATATATTTGAAAATTATTTTCAGGAGTTTGCTGAATTGTATAAGGATATGAAAGAAAGTCACGCCCAATCATCTCAAACAGTTACACAGTCTTTAAATGGTGGACCTACAGCAACTCAATTATTACGCTCAAATAGCATTCAAGAAGAACTTTATGCCTCATTTTAAACATTGAATTATCGGGAAGCATATTATATTTATGGTGACCATACCTACTCTTTTTAATTTGAAGAACGGTCCTTTACTCCACACTTATTTTGAATAAAGAACAGCTCTGGTCGCAGAAATGCTTTCTAAACCAGCTTTGTAACTCCTAAATCAAATTATTTTAAATGTTTGCTAATTTCAATGTGAGAAATGTTCCTAAAAAATTCATCGAAAACAGCTGATCTCTGCTTGTTATTAAATAAACAATAATCCTTGCAAAAACGTTATTCGAAAAAGAAGGCTAGAAATGTTAGTGAAATTACTATAGCAATATACATACATATCGTTACCTTACCCAACAAACATTGGGCTTTGTTAACAATTCGAAAATGATAGGAAAACGAATCTTTTTTTTCGAGTCTCACCTTCGATAATGAATGTGGCATAGGTAAGTATTCGATTCGAGAACTAGGCCATTCTCCAGCAAAGCGTATCCTTCGTTATCCAATGTATTTTCCGTTCGTTGTGAATTCGAGATCCAGCTCATTATCGAAATGAAATTTTAATAAGAGAGAGAGAGTGATTGTCTTATATTTCCCTTCAAGAATGAGCTGCATTTCACTTTCTCTCTTGTTACTATGGTTTCCATTTTTTTTTCGAACCCATCTCGAGTGTATTTCGAATATACATACTATGAACGTTGGAAAACTAAGGTTGGTTATGAGTTCGTTCTCAGTTCGATATGCATATTGGATATCGAAGGTCAGTTTCGAACGTTCGCCACAATGTTTATTGGGTACCCTCACAAACCCACTACTATTACTATAGATTGGTTATATCTTGAGGAAAATTGCAATATAATAACTTAAGTTTGCATTAGGTTTTTTATAGTAATCTACAAATAAACAAAACTTATTAAGGTAACGATATCCATGCATGCAAATATTATATATGTACATATGTGTTAAAACATTTTAAGAAAATATTTTGAAGAAATGGTCACTGTACTTATATAATTGGGCCGAATGAATAAGAACGAAGCAATTGCTTTTTCTTAAAATTGCATACCTTTTACTTCAATTTTGTTTGAATAAATCGAGTAAAGTGTAAGAAATTTTAAGAAAAAGCAATTGCTTATTTTTTATTCATACGGCCCAATATATCGGTTAACTATTTCACTCTACAAAAACCTGATGTATATTTATAATCGATGTGTAAATATATATGTATGTATTTGCTTGATTGAACAAAAAAATATACAATAACATTAGAGAAAGAATTATTTATTTTCAATGGCTTACTAGATATATGCACATATGTACGTATGCACATTAGGGTGGTTCTTAAATGTAGGAAGCAAATTTTTACATCAGATTTCTTAAGCCTCAACCCCTGCGATGCTTTTATAGTCGAAGATATCACATATAAATTTTGGTCTTGATTGGAGACGGTTGAAGCGTGTCGCACATTGGGCAAAGTTCAGATTCCTCTATGGAGAATCAAAAAATGTAAATTGATTTTTTTCCCATCTAATACTCAAAAACGATACTACCATAGTCGAAGATATCACATATAAATTTTGGTCCGGATTGAAGTCGGTTATGGCGTGTCACACAGGGGTCAAAGTTCAGATTACCCCATGAAGACGTCTTAACCGACTCCAATCGGAACTAAAATTTATATGTGATACTCTCGACTATAGTAGCATCGATTTTGGACATTAAATTTAAAAAAAAAATTGCCTTTTTTGAGTCCTTAGAGCACAGCTGGGCAGCGTCTACCCGGCGGGAGACTGCGCGGCGTGTTCGCGTATACATACACGCTCTGCTTGGGAAGATAGCGAAAGTTTAATTGTTCACTTGTTCGAACGCACACAGTGACATCAAATGCACGCACACTACGAAAATGCTCTTCCTTTGCGACACGCCTTAAACGATTCCAATCGGGACCAAAATTTATATGTGATATCTTCGACTGTGGTACTATCCACAGTATACAGTAATCCAGATAGACAAAACAAAAAATGTAAATATGC